ACAATCTTAGTCCTTTTTTTAAGGTGATATGTGGAATGGTGTCAAGGAGGACAGTAGCATAGTAACGACCACTTTCCTCATCATCAGGCAAAGTCAATGACTTCATTCTCCTTATTCTCAAATTTCATTTCAGGTGGCCTTTTGGTTCCTAAAGACACTCAAAGGATTAAAGCTATATTCTAACATCACAAGCTGCATGTTGCTGAAATGTTCATTTTCCACCTGCTTTGGGCCAAGTGCTGCTCCAGTTGCTGGGGGTCTTGCAATGATCAAGATAAAAGGCATCCCTATCCTACTCGAGGCGACACGCTAATGGTGAGAAACACGTGACAGAGGAGTGAAAAAGCAAATAGAGAGCTTTCTAGGTACTATTAAGTGCTATTAAGAGGAGCAAACAGGGATGCACTAGAGGAACACAGTGTGGGTGTGAGGTAATGCAGGGTGGAAGCCAGGGATGTGTCTTTGGAGAGGCAGCACTTGAACTGAATTGTGACTGAAAAACAGGAGCCAGCTGTGCAGAGAGTGTAAAGGCGCTATCAGCTTGACAAGTTCAGGAGACAGAAGGGATGCTAGGCATCCATGTAGCGACAAGGGAAGTAGGGCCAGGAGATAAGGGCTCCGAGATCATCAAGAACCAGATGATAAGGCAATGAGAAACCAATGGGGAGTTTTAACTAGAGCCCTGGCATTACCTGATTTGCATTTCTCAAAGTTTCATTTGAATGAACCAAAGTGGGGAAGGGAGGAAGCAGGGAGATCTGTTAAAAGCCCCTTTTGGGGATCCCGGCAAATAAGGATGATATTGATGGTTTGGGNCCCAAATACATAAGCTAATGCTCATATGAGATTGGAAATTCATTCAGGCTGGGGTTAGAAAAACGGATCATGTATAGAATCATGTGTACAATGGCTATGACTGATTTTTGATGACCTCTAATTATGAAATGATGTTGATTCCTTACTACATCAGACAACTGTGGTTGAATCACCCTCAAGTAACTATGTGAGAAGTTGAACACATTATTTTACAACACGCATGGAATTTTGCTCATCTAATACCATGAACAAGATACACAAAAAGGAATACATGTATAATGGATGCCTGTAACATGCTGCTGATCTCAGCTATAGTATGTGGTAATACTGGAGAAG